GAAGATTCTAGTCATACTTACTCCCAGCTCTCTTTCATCTCCAAGTCTACGAATATGATCATCCCTTTCCCTGGGATAGCATCCCATCTCCTTTCCTCTGCCAAGAGCCTCTGGAGGGTTCTGCCATGACTTCCTGTGCCGGCACCTTATAGCAGCCTCCCCCGGTCACCTCTATCACATGCCAGTGTTACTCAGAGTTTAACTCCTAGAGGGATAAATTTTTTTTTTTTTAGGTAGGCTCCAGGTGGGTCTTGAACTCACGACCCTGAGATCAAGAGCTGATCTGAGATCAAGAGTGGGTCACTTAACGAACTGAGCCACCCAGGCGTTCCAGAGGAACAAATATTACTCTATTATCGCTTATCCTGGTCCGAAAAGAGGAAAAAAAAAAAAAAAAGCTAAACTAAAGAACTGTCCTTGGAGGGATGAGGGTAGTATACTGGGACTCCAGCAACATCTTACTCAAACCTAGAATTTCCACCTCAAAACTGAACATTTCTATATATTTAAAGAAAATCTGGGCCCTAATTGTGACATCTAAAGAACTGAGACTAGACATTTTTTATTTTTAATGGGGAAATAAATGAATGAGGAAGAGAAATCCTGAAAGGGGGCGGGAAGGGGGGGCGGTGCGAGTAAGTGGAGTGGAGAAAAGAAATGATAAAAAAGTAGGGAGGCAAGGATGAAAGGCACAATTAAACTACAAAAGAAAAATATAAACAAGTTTCATGGAGACAAACTCAAAAGGCATTTCTTTTCCTGCAAATATCTTGGGGGGGGCGGGTACTGTTAACTTTTTCCTGCAGTTGTCTTTGGAAAGTGATGAGATTTTTGAATAAGATTTTGACTGATACCAAACTTCCCTTTCAAATTAGAAAAAAATTCTAATGGTTAGAAAATATGCTTAATTTTTTTTTTTTAATGAGAAGCTATCTCCTTGGCTTTCATCTGTAAAATCGCTTGAAATTGGCAGTGACCTCCCCTCCCCTGTTCTTTTCTTTTTTCTAAGTTAGCTACATGGAAAAGCGTTCAGCCGCCTCGAAAACCTCGCGGCAACCGCCGGATGCTCCAAAGTCAAGATCCTCCGCAGACAGGAAATGCCTTTGCCAGCTCCAAGGTCTCCTCCCCGCAGCCCTCTCCATTGTCTGCAGAGATTTGTGTACATCCGACTGAAGAGGTTTACCGCCTGCTACAGCGAATCAAAGAGCTACCTTACAAGAAGGGAGTCAGTGAGGGCTTTCTAGTTTTTCTAGCTAACACTTGGTGCCCACTGTGTGCCAGGTATGATGTTTGCTCTCAGGTGAGCAGCCCACCTCTCTAGAAACTGGGCTGAGAATTCACATTGCCCAAGACCCCCAACCAGCAAGAGAGCCATTCTTCCAGCCCTGCTCTTACCCACGATGGTATAATTCCTGACATTGGGGCCCCCTCAGCCAGATCTGAAGGGGTAGCTGCAGTTCTGAAGACCTTGGATCTCAGATATTTTGGTGGGTGGTAGGAATCTCCAAAGTGCTTGTCATTTGGATTTAACAACAATACCAAAAAATGAATCAAGGGACAGAATTCGATTAGATAAATTACAGAATCCAGCTGGAATTTCATGAAACCCAAAGTGAAGGAGAAGAAATGTTGGGATATCTGATTATTTTTACCAAACTCCTAACCATTTAGAAGCATTCTGGGTGACTGTTTGGTTCTCCACATTCTGTCCCATCGTGTCAGGAGTCACAAAAGTCTCACCTCCACTCACAGATTTAAAGGATCATTGATTATCAGATTTTAAAGAAAAATCAAAAGGGTGAGCTTTTGAGCTTGAATTCCACAAGGCAGTATAACTGGAATGGGAATTTTGGTAAGGGCAGTCTGTCCCCCTCAAAGTGCACTTCCCCAAGTCCAAATACATTTTCTTGAATCTCTGCCCTGCCTCCATTAAGTAAAATGAATATTCACAGCAATGAAACCACCAAAGAAAAAAAAAAGTTGTCAGAAATGTTGAAAGAGAATAGGTACTTTCACTATCAGAGATGGTTTCCTCTTTTCCCACAAGATGTTTTATCAGCTTTCACCCTGAGAAAACCATAAAAAGTAAGAAAAAGAAACCTTATGCAATAGTTCTCTAAATAAAATACTACACAGCAGGCTAGTCATCCCTAAAAGTGATGTTGTTTAAAGAGTCAAAGTACATCATCCAACAAAATCAATATCCTATTAAGTTAGAAAGGGTTCTGAATATCAAAGACCAATGAACTGAATAACTTAAAGTATAAGTACATGACCCAGGGGATTAATCACACACTGTCATGGTGAAATTAGGGCAATTCTTCCAATCATTAACGTTTTGCTTACAAAAATGTGCTTTTCTGTTTGTCTTTCTGCTAAATGATAACCGTTTTCAAGTTGAATCTCCTGATAAAAAGAGTTAAAAACAAGACAGGAGTTGTGCTGTAAAGGTCATACATGCTGCTTCAACATGAAATAGCCAAAAGACAAACAAATGAAAAAATGCCTGGATTGTAGGAAGAATTTGTAAATATTCATTGGCAATCTGCAATGGGGCATTTTGAAAACAGTTAAAGCCGACCCGTACCCTGAAAATACTGTACTCCGGTGAACATGCTCTTGATTCTTAAGACTATGTTTAGATTCAGAATATGAGCAACGTGAAGAGGGTAAGGAGTAGCTTTAAACTAGAAAACATCCTGGATTCAAGAAACTGTCTACTTTAAAACAAGATTTCACCCTTCAACTTTTCTAGTGTCAATCAATACATAAGCCTGTATTTCTCTGCCTGATCATCATGATACAGTTATTCTCAAGAATAAACATTAACCAGAGGTTATCTCCAGAAGCAAAACACACACAAACTGATTTCAGGATTGCTTTAATTCAATGTTAGACCCACAAGCCTCCCATTCTCCAAAAGTCTGATACAGACAGTCCCATTTTCAAACGGGACTGATTATGACCCTTGAAACCTAGATGTAACCTGTCAGGCAGGATCTGGGAGTCTGGAGCCTGCAGCGGATGGGAAGGGAGACCCTCCAGAAGACCTGGAGGTCTACTTTAGCTTCCAACACTGAGAAGACATAGAGAATAGGGGGAACCATAAAGATAAAGAGCTTGAACTGAGTTGGGAATTTGGGGGCCGGAAAGGATCAGGTAGATCAACTAGACCATCTCCATTCCACAGATGAGAGAACGGAGGCCAAGAACTAAAACTCCAACCAAATTATTAAACTTCCAGGCCTAGTCACACCTCTCTGCTTAAGGACCTGGTGCTAATTTTCTCAGAAATTTAAATTTGCAGGCAATTCCAGGGGCCTTCTTGGAATCTAAGGAGACAGGCTGTAACAACTCCCTAAAAGCAATAACCTTTTCGCTCTGTCTTCACTGGAGTGCCCATGTCTGGGGAACCATAGCCCTGGTCAGCCATGCAAGCGGCAGAGTCGTTCCTTCAGGTGCCCTCAGTCAGAAGGCACCCACCTCCACAAATAACTAGAGGCCTCCATGGAGGGAGGCCCAGGCTAGAAGAAGAGGTTTCCGGACCTTTTCCCCAACAAGCCCCTCCTCATTTTCCTGGAATCTCAGGGACCTGATGGCTCCTCCACTAGACAAGCAGGCGGATGCAGTCCCTTGGGCCAGTCAGAAGCCTCAGGCCATCCTTCCCCTCAGCCCCACACCCCCCTTATCTGGCACTGCCATTCTCCCCTCTCACAGTAGCCCTTCCTCGGCCCTGCCAGGGTCCCATAGCCACCAGACTCTGGTTCCCACCGGCCTAGATGAGCCCCGCTGCCTTCTTTCTCCCTTTCATTCCTCCCCGCCTCCGGCTCCCGCACTGGGAGGAGTTACTGGGAGAAGGGAAGCAGGTGAGAGAGGAGTGAGGGGGTATGCGGGCCCCAGCTGCTTCTACTCGAGGAGCACCTTAGAACGGCGGTTCTCAAAGCGCGGCCTTCCTACCAGCCACTTTGACATCACCCGAGCACGTGGTGAAGTGCAAATTCCCGGTCCCACCCCAGACCTACCAAATCAGAAACTCTGGCGACACGGCTGGCCAAGAGTTTCAAGAAGCTCTGCGGGTGCTTCCGAAGCTCGCCGAAGCTTGAGACCCGTGGTCTCGGCACAAACTACCTCCCCGCTCTTCCCTGGCACTCTCCCCCCACCCCCTCCGAGGACCCCCCTACCCGGGCTCGGCCGCCAAGGGATGACGCCGTGTTGACTCACTCAGGTCAAGGACAGCGGCCCGGGCCAGCCAGGGAGCCGAGGCGAATCGATGGGGTTCTGCGGCCCCGCGCTCCCCGACGCAGCCGGCCTCGGCCCTGGCTCTCCCAGCCCCCTGGCGCGCTGGGGTCTCAGACCCGCCGAGCCCGGGGTCCGGGGGCGGGAGCCTCCCCCCTGCCGCGACGCACACACGTCGAGCCCCTCCCCCACCCCAACTCCCTCCCCTTCGAGGGAAAGTCCCAAATCTACTTCCCGGGGCCCGCCCACCCGCCCGCCGTCCCGTGTCCCGCGCCCGCGCGCCGGGACCCGGGAGACGCTGGAAGGAAAGGTGAGAGGTGTGCGTTTGTTTCACTGGAAGAATGCTTGGTCCCTCGAGGTCAGTCGTCCCACCGACGGGTTTATTTTATACACAAGTTACTCATTTAAGAAAACACCATTTTGGTCTTTTTTTTTTTTTACAGTGAACAATTATATATACAACACATTATAAACACTGTTTGATATAAAACATAATATCTACAGTCTACTTACATTTAATTAACCTACTTCTAGTTCATCTGTGATTAATTTTAGTCCCCGATGAGTCAGTTTCTCTGCTTGAATTGGACTGTACTGTTCCCTTAACACCTTGCTCATATAAGGTACTAAGTGATAGTGCAAAACAAGCATTTAAGATTCTCATCAACTAGATCTCGCTGACAAAAAGAACATACACATCCCCGAGACAGGAGCTCTGAGATCATATTGGATTTAAGGCAGCAGTATAAAAATGTAATATAGTGCTTCGGCAGCACATATACTAAAATAAGAATGTAATATAAAAGTAAAGGAAGTTTCTTTTTAAAATAGTCCAAGGCTGCCTGAAATGTGGGCCCCATGAGCAAGGCATACCTCTGGATCTGGGGTGCCCTTTTGCTTTTCCATTAAGTGGGATGCAGATACAGATTAAAAAGTCATTCAAGAAGATCCTACTAAAACCTTTAGTTATAACTTAAAAATTTAACAAAAAAGTTCAAAATTACTTTTTATAAATAGAAAAAACAAATTTACTTTTTTAAAAAGGGGGTGAATTTAACCAGTGAAGAGTCCCTTCATCATATAACCTACAATCAGTACATAAACCATTTAAGTCAAAATTAAGGTTTCAGTGTAAGTTTGCTGCTTAGCCAGTGCACCAAATATTTTAGGTTTCCAGAATACCAGAAAATTGATTCCCTTTCTCATAGTTTTCCAGTATGTCTATGGAGATTTTCTGTAGCAAATGTTATTCCCAAATCCAGTTTTCTGAACATGCCAATGTCAGTGGTCATCATCCAGCATTAAAATAGCCTTTATCGCCCTCAATGTCCACTTCCTGATCAGAATCCTCTGAAATCTCTGATTCAAGGTCTTCCTGGGAGGCAGGGGATGGTGAACATTGAGAGCTATCCAAAGCACCTTTATTCTGCTCACTGGGCAAGTCTTGCCTCTGGTCACAGGGATTGTCCAAACTTTCCAGTTCTTCTTTTTTATTGCTTTGAGGGTTCTCCTGAATGAAAGGAATGAAAACGGAAATTGGTAGGCTTGTGAAATATGGAGACATAAGATACATAAATCAAACTGTGTTTTCATTCTCTATCATCTTTAGAATTTTTAGTTTATCTATTGCTTTCATCAGCTATAATCTTTATTCAGAAAATACATACTTGTGCTTCTTTCTCATTTGGGAAGAAAAGTGCCTGTCATATCAAAGAAAGATTATTCTCTTGCCAGATAAGAACAACCAGTCACAAATATTACAATGTATTGTGTCAAATGAACACTTAGCTCCAGCCCATACTCATGGTCTCAAGATTCTTAAAAGTTTAGGGGAGGGAGAGATTAGATCACTACAGGTACACACTATCTTCATTCTTCAAGTATTTTTAAACCTTGCCAATTAACAGGGTCTTCCAGACCTTTAAAAAATATGAATGCTAAGTAGTGAATTAAGGGAAAGTTTCAAAATTATTAGATTGAATCCTTTTTCATCCATTTTCTGTAGTAAATTTATAAACTTACAAATACATGTAACAAGTTACAAAATCATGGCAAAGGTAAAAATGCAGAACTGGAAGAATGCTGCCAACTGTAAAGGGAGACAATTAACTACAATTTACTTATAATCCAGGGGAAATTTCTGGAAAATATATTCCCATATTACAAAGGAACCACTATTTTTTTTTTTTAAGATTTTATTTATCTGACAGAGAGAGAGAGCACAAGCAGGGGGAGTAGGAGAGGGAGAAGCAGGCTCTCTGCTGAACAGGGAGCCCAATGCAGGGCCCCATCCCAGGACCCTGGGATCATGACCTGAGCCGAACGCAGATGCTTAAACAACTGAGACACCCAGGCGCCCCAGGAACCACTATTTTAAAAATCCCTGGTAAATTGCAGTCAAGCCTTTGACCAAGAACTAAGTAACTGAATTTTTAATTCTGTTTGTCTAAAATAGACATAAACACTACAAAGAAATATGATATATTCCTAAGGGTTTTTTTTTTTAAGCAAGACTATAGAATAATATATTCACCAGGCTTGCAATTAAGTAACAAATATATGCACAAGGTCAGAGATTGAGAGGGAATCTACAAATTTTTAAATCATGTTAGAATAATGAAATTATGGGAAATTTATTTTCTGTCTCAAAGTGCTCTCTGTGACACCATCTTATTTCCAATGAAAAAGTTATGATCACTAAATTTAAAAATGTACACTGCTTTCAATTTCCCCATTCCTATTATTGTTTTCAAAAATATTTTATCCTAAACTGTATATACAATGGCAAATGAACAATTCAGCAATTGTCAGGTAACTGGAGAAGACATCCAGACTGGAAGATCAAAAGCAAATCTTCAGCTTTAAGTCAATAGAGGTTTTTCAAAAACTGAATTAGCCTTTACTTTTTATCACATCTTGCGTAACAAGGTCATTGTAAAAAAGACTGTTAGTAAGTTTAAGCTACTTTCCAAATAGGCTTGTATATTCTCTTACGTATCTTATATTCATTTTAAGAGCTGGTATTAGATGGGAAATAATTTTAAACTCTTTGATATTTAATTCTTCTAAAAAACAGTGCAAACAAGACTTAGAGGTGTTTATTTCCTTATATTTACCCTTAAGCTCTGCCTGGTTTTATTATGGCTGTGTAAATAAAAGAAACAATTTTCTCCCAAAGATAACTGCTTAAGTCATTTACTGTCAATTACTTTATCTTTCCTGCGTTAATTAGATAAACAACATATGGAGTTTATAAAACAATTAGCCGGAGTTTTACCAACCAGTGTGTGAAAACCCAAGCATAATTGATATAGGAACTGCATTAGGTGCTTTTAGCATTACTGCCACCTGAGCAACTCATCCTGAATTTCAGCAGGACTATTTGCCTTTTTAATCAAGGTGAAGAGGTTAAATAGTCTCTCAAATGACTTTTGCATACAACCCATAACAGGCCTCACATTGAGATAACATGATAAAAATATTTATTTCCATAGAAACAGAACCATGTCGATACCTGTTTCAGTCTTCTCCATTTAGCGCGTCGATTCTGAAACCAGGTTTTAACCTACAGGAAAGAGAGAAAGAAAACTTGCCACGAACCCAAGCGCCCTGGGGAGTAACGGAGAAGCTGTTCGGCGATTGTCGAGCCGGCCAGAGCTCCGGGCGTTAGCGCGACACGGCACGCCCGAGCGCCCGGCTGGCGACACGTCTGTCTTCCGCCCCGCGACCCCCCGCCCCTGGAATCTGCCCCGAGCCCGCAGGCGCGCTCACCTGTCTCTCGCTGAGCTGCAGCATCTTGGCCAGACGCTTCCTCTCGGGCGGAGAGAGGTATTTCTGGGTCTCAAACTTCTTCTCCAGCTCGATGGTCTGGTCGTTGGAGAACCTCACCTGGCCGCCTTTCCTTTTATGCAGAGGCCTCTGCAAGAAAGGGCTCCAGAGCAGGGGTTTGCCTGCGGGCAGCGAGAGCAGCGGTTAGTGACAGACCTGGAGGGGCCAGGCCCTGGGGAGTAGGAGATGCAGAAGGACACTCAACTAACACAAGTTCACATACACCCACCCACAAGGACCCAATACGTTCCAACTAAGACACGTGCATACCCAGGGACAGACACACCCGAAGGCACACACACCTACACTGCGTATGCACATACACAACCCTTGTACACTCAGAGGCACACGAACGGCCATCACAGCCATAGCTGATTTCAAACGCACAGATCTTTTGATCCCCAAAAGAATACCCACTATAAATCGAGCCTAAAATACCACGACACTCTTTTAACAAGTCGCCCTCGAATTTATACAGAACTGTTTGCACCTCTAGGCCCTGTCCCTTGGTGAGCCGCACTTTCCAAATACCCGAGTGTGTGTCTGTTGGGGAGGAACCGGGCTGTTACCCTCCCTGGGGCGTTCCGGCCAGGCGCCGCCGGCTGGAGCCTGCTCGGGAGGTCCTTGGGGCCCGGGCGCCGACGTTAGGCCGCTAGCTCGTGGAGCTTCCAATCCTGGCTCCAGGGCGCTGCGGCCTCCTCTGATTTCACACCCGGCGGCGGGGGCGGCCAGTTAAAGCTACGCCGTGGGCTATGGCAACATTTCCGTCAATGTGTTTCCTGTTGGTCTATCTCGAAAAGCCCTTTGCTTCCTCCTGCGCGGTCCCAGCAGTAACCCAAGGAAACCTAGGGCGCGCTATGTGAAAACGTTCGCCCGAGGCCCGGCCCGGCCGAGGGTCCCGCTCCCGCCCCAGCAGGCGAACAGAGCCACGCCGGGGCCACCGCACCAAACCCTCGAAGCTGGAATCAAATATACAATAACTTAAAAAAAAAAAAAAAGCTACAATATAATCCCCTTCAGATCTTAACGATGAGAAAGGAAGGTCTCCGGAGGGCTGACCTAGAGGCCGCGTCATAAACATGAAGGCATTAAAATGTTAGTTCGTCTCTAGGGTCCCCACAGAAGCTGCCAATAGCAAGAGAGTAAATTTAAAACCCTTGGTGTCCCAAGGCAAGGAGCCCCGTGTCTTTATTTCCCCCGGGGCTTCAGATGCCAGAGCCGCCAAGGGCCACCCGGAGCGCGAGTCACCGCTGGCTTATTTCTTAGGCCGAGCGCTGAGGGGACAAGCCCCGCGAATACCATATGCCCTAGGTGTCCTGGCTGCCTTTCCTACTCCAAAGACCTGTCAGTCCGTCCGTCCGTCCGTCGGTCTGCAGGCCTGCCCCCAAACACTTTGAAAGCTGGCATTGTTGGTTTTTTTTTTTTCCCCAGATTTTGCTTACGTCAGGCTTCAGACTAGTGCAAAACAGCTTCGGGGGAAAAAAAAAAAGGAAGCAACTGGTTATTTTAGCTGCCATAAAGTCACATCCCACACAGAGGAAATGAACAATATCAGAAAAACGGATCCCGGCTATCAGAAGTCGAGTGTTTCCTGAATTTGTCTGTATTGAGGATGTCGATAAAATAATCAGCAGCGTGCACTACTCCGGGGGAAGGGTCTGCTTCATGCAGCCAGGAAAACACTTAACAGCTTCTGAAACCAGATTTACTCCTATCGAGAACTCAAGATTTCCTGTATGAACGGAAAGGGTCAGGCTCTTTCACTGCACAAGCTTGTTGAACCAGGTCCAGCCTCGTAACCGCCGGGGCCCAGCAGCTATCCCTGCCCCGCAGGACCGGCCCGGGGCGCCTCGGCACTCCCTTCCCCGCCCCTCCAGCTAAGAGGACCCCACCCCGAGCGACGCGCGCGCCCCGGGGCTGCCTTCGGCCGCCAGCCCCCGCGACAGTGCCAGAGGTCTCGCGCGGGCCCGCGCGCCCCGACGCCTGCAAGGTGCAGGAAAACCAATCTGAGTCATGGTGCGGTCAGCCCCGGCCGCGCGCCACTGGGGCCCGCGCCTCCCGTCCCCGCGCGCGCCCGAGAGCCGCTTTTCGATCGCTTTTGCCACAACTTTCTATTGCCTCCCCCTCCGCCCCCGCCGCCTCCTGGACGCTGCCACCTGCCGGGTGGCGCCTTCCTCGCCGCCGCCGCGGCTCGGCCCCGCCATGACCCCGGCCGCCTTACCCAGGGGGTCGTGGCGGAGCAGGGCGTGCGTGTAGTCGTTCACCGTCCGCGGGAAGGGGTACAGAGGGCCCCCGAAGCCGCCGGGTCCGTAGGCGGCGGCCAGCGCGGCGGCGGAGTGGTGCGAGAAGGCGGGATGGATCGGCGTGGGCTCGTACACCGGTGTCCGGTAGGAGGACACGAGGCTGGTGAAGGAGGAGTTGGGGGACGGCAGCGTGGGGTTGGGGGTGGGCGCGGCGGGCCCGCGGCCCAGGATGTCTTCGATGTAGAACGGCGTCGGGTGCGCGGGCTGCAGCAGCGGCGTAGGCGCGTACAGCGGCACCCCCACGGTGCCCGCCGCCGCTGGCCCGGGGTGTGGGTACTGCATGGCTCCGATGCGCTCCGGCCCCTTGGAGAGCTGGCGGCCCGCGCCGCGGCGCTACATTTATCCGCGCTCCGCGCTCCCGGCGATAGGCTCTGCCGGCCACGGGGTGGGGCCGCGCTCTCTGGCCCCTTCCTGCCGCCCGTCCCTGCGGCCAATGGCGCGGAGCCCCGGGAGCCGCCTCCCGCCCCCACCCTCGGCCCGCCCCCGCCGGCCGAGCTCCCGCCCCCCGGGACGCGCTCGCTCTCAGGCTCCTGGGACCCTGCGCGCCGGTGCCCGGCCGCCGCCGTCGCTCGGGGCTCCAGGCACCCTGGCCCGGAAAGCCCTCGAAGGAAGCCCAGGGTCACGTCCGTCGTGGGGAGACACGAGGAAAGTAGCGCCTGGAACACGGACTCAAATAGTCCCAGCTCCTGCCGGGAGGCAACTCTGCCGAAACCCGGGGGGCACTGGTCCAGGCCCGGGCCCAGGGTGGCAGCAGCCGGCCCCAGGCGCGGGGCAGCTAGACTCGAGCCTGGCAGGCGTAGAGGCCACCGGCAGAGCCGCGCCTTCGCAGGCCTGAGAGTAGCGCTCCCTGGAGTAACGGTGACACTGGCTGTTGCCCGGGGCGTCTCCGGAGCTCGTAGCGGGAGCGGGCCCTGGGTTCCTGGGGCAGCTCCAGAGAGAGAAATCCAGCCCTTAGCTACGTCCCAGTTGGGGTAAGGACGACTAAACTCAGGTGCTCCGGACTCGTGGCCGCTCCAGCCCATTTCATTTGTGGGCTCCCCGCACTCAGCCACTTCCGTGAGGACGCTGGCAGAAGCCGCTCCGGGAAGGAATCAGGGGAAAGCCTGGGTCTTACGGTGCCAGGTAACCGCCCCGATGGGGTTGCTCTGTGTCCCCTATCCCCGGGTCCTGGGGGTCGCAGCTGCGCGCAGCACCGCTTTCCCGTTTTGCACGTGTTTTCTATTGAAGCTGTGGCGCTACCCCCTTGTGGCCTCGGCTCTGTGCCGCTCCACTCGCCTGAGGGGCAAGGGGGCATTTTCTTGATTGACGCCCTCCTGCGGTCGTCACACCTCGCGGTGAGCAGTTTCTGCTAAGGTCCTCCATTAATCGTGGAAATACACATTTCCCAGCTTTTTCTATTGAGGTTTTTTTTTATTTACATCTTGGAACTATTTCTCCGACTAAAGCCGGGTCGCAGACGAAAAAAGAGTGGACTGGAAGCCGGCTGGCCTGAGTTCGAGTTTCACTGCGCACATTTCTGTAGAGCAACTACTGTGTGCCACCAGTGAACAAGACAGATGTAGTTCCTGTCTTCACGGAGGCAGGAAACAGATTTTAATGCTGTGTCTTATGTGTGTGCTAGGAAGGAGAAGTACATAATGATCCGAAACCTGGTAACCAGGGGACGTCACCTAGTTGGGGGAGGGGGCGTGTTAAGGAAGGGAAAGTATTCTCCAAGGAAGTGATGTTTGAAAAATGAGAAATTGTCAAAGAACGTAGAGAGGGACGAATATTCAAAGAATAGCATGTGAGTGTTGTCAGTGCAACTTTGGTCAAGTCATCCTCCCTGAGCTTTCTGAAACATCTGAAACTTAGCCCAAAGGCTCCTAATCTTTTGGGGGTTGAGTCATGCATCTTTCAGAATCTGATGACAGACAAACACAGGGAGTGTAACAGGCTATCATCTGAGTTAAAAAGTTAGGAAAGAGTAAGGATATTTATCTGTGCTTTTGTTCTATTGGGTAAACTATCTCTGGAAGATGACACAAAAAACTAATAACATTGGCTGTCTATGAAGCGAGAGGTGGAGTTGGAGGGAGAACTTGCTGTATACTCTGAATATTTGGAGAATTGAACTATGTGGATGTGTGACCTATTCATAGTATAAGCAGGTCCTTGAAGAAGTGGCTGATTCTAGGTCTGGGGCAGGAAAAGTACAAGGTGAGCTCAAGGCATCTTGTGCTAGAAACCACAGGAGACAGACCGCCCTGATTAGTCTTCCATGGGCCAAATTGGGGTGGTTTAAGTATCAAAAGCACATTTTGGATTATAACAGTTCATAGTCTCACTCTCCATAGTGATGCTCAGAGAGAGAGGGATGGTGGATGGTAAAGCTGGAAGGATGCCAGCTAACAAATGTAAAAAACTTGATCAAATAAAATAATGTAATAATTCAACCATCAAGTGAGGGGCGTCTGGGTGGCTTAGTTAAGTGTCAGCCTTCGGCTCAGGTCATGATCTCAGGGTCCTGGGATCAAGCCCCACATGGGCTCTCTGCTCAGCGGGAGTCTTCTTCTCCCTCTCACTCTCCCTCTGTACTCTCTCTCTCAAATAAATAAATAAATAAATTTACAAAACAGAAAAAAAGAACCATCGAGTGAAACATTGTTGAGGATGAGGATTTTCGAAATCTCTCATAGTATCACACCAATTGATAAGATTCTGGATTTTTTTTTTAAAAAAAGCTATAAAAGACATTTGGGCAGCTAATAGGGAAAAACTGGAAATGAATTATAGGTTAGATGACATTAGTAAATTAATGGTCATTGTGTTACATGTGATATTGGTATTGTGGGTAAAATGTCATTCTTGGGAGGTGCAGACTGAAGTAGGAGTGAGGGTCTTGACATCTGCAACTTTCAAATAGTTCAACACATACACACAACATATATATATACACAAACCATTATACACACACATACAGATAAACAAGGAGATAAAGCAAATTAGAAAATTATTCTTTGGTGAATTTAGGTGAAGAGTATACTGATGTTCATTGTACTAGTTTCAGCTTCTCTGTAGATTTGAAATTTTCCAATATAAAAACTTTGTAAAGTATGATTTTAGATATTAAAAAATGGAAGCAGTCTCATTTTTTAAGGTAAAAATTATTTGAATTTTTTGTGAAGTCTGCATACAAGCTCAGGTAGTACATTGTCCCTGGAAGCCATCCATGGAGGGCTGTTTGCAAAGCATTGGTCCTTCTGTGGCCCGGTCTGATGTTGTGCCCATTCCACCCGTCATAATTCTCATTCCCTGGCCTGATGGAGAAGTCAGGCAGGTGCTGGCAGACTGTGAAAGTCTAGTGTGTTCTGCTGTGTACCAAGGACAGAGACAAGATTTGGGGACAAAGAAAGGATAGTCACTATCTGAAGCTCAAAGGAGCTTTCAAGAGTTATATTTGGGTCTTCAAAGATTGGGACCTCAGTGAACTAAGCAGGTGTCTGTGATTATTGTTTTCTCACAAAATGTCTCTCCCTCATCTTTGTTTTTCTTCTTTTCCTGCCCCTTCCACCTAGCAAGCAATTGAGATGATCACTCCAATTCATAGAACGCCTTTACAGTAAATCACTAGCCAGCCGTTATGCTCCATCTTCAAAAATCATACGGGTTTAGAGTTTATTCTGTGCATGACTCAGCCACCGGCCAAAAGAAAAAAAAGATCTAAATCTACAAACCTTCCAAAAATAAATATTAAAATGCTAGGAAAATAATCACTAATATAGGAAAAGAAAGCATCATCCCTTTCTTTGATTGGCACAGACCCTGGGATGTAGATGGAGATCTTAAAAGGCATTGATAGAACATTCCAGCTCCACTACATAATGCTCACCAGCAAATTGAAGCACTTAATTCTGGTAAGCTATATAACACCACCTCTTCTAAATCCAGTCATCAGATCCATGTTCATTTTGTTATAGTTAAAAAAAAAATTACAACCACATTTGTGAATGTCACATTTATTGAACTACATAATTTTTAATATCACTTGTGTAGGTTTTATAGTTTATTTTATTGTTTTAAAAGTCATTTGGGGCTCTAAAAGAACTAGGTTTTTCCGAAGTTGTCCTTATAATTTTTTTTCACACAGTCAGAACTAATAAAACAAAACTGTTGTAGCTATTTAATTCAAAATCTCTTGGAGTTTCAATATTTTTTCTCTGCTGGATACTAAAACCAATAAACCTACATGAGATTTTAATTATATTCTGAATTAAACAAGACTCTCTCCAAAAATTTGGCACCATTTATTTTAGTCACTGCTATTATAAAAGAGACCAACCTTTGTAGGAAGAGAAGGTGGGTCTCGCCTCTAATTTATCTAGTAAGAACTTTGGTATTTGTTTTGCAACAACTTTTTTTTTTTAGATAAGCAGTATGTTTATTAAATGCATTAAGACAAATAAACTTTACAAATAGACAAATCAAGTTATTTTCAATAATTAAATACACATAGAAGTAAAACTTCAAATTAGCTAAAGCTTGAAAGCATCAGGACACCTGGGTGGCTCAGTCAGTTAAGCGGCTGCCTTGGGCTCAGGTCATGATCCCAGGTGCTGGGATCAAGCCCGGTGTGTTCAGGTTCCCCGCTCAGCTGGGTGCCTGCTTCTCCCTCTCCCTCTCCCTCTACTCCCCCGCCACTTGTGCTCTCTACCTCTCTCTTCTCTCTCTCAAATAAATAAAATCTTTAAAAAAATTTTCATCACAAGAAAAAAATTTTTTTTTACTATTTTGATCTACTTTATTTTTTTTATTATGTTCTATTGATCACCATACATTACATCATTAGTTTTTGATGTAGTGTTCTATGATTCATTGTTTGCTTATAACACCCAGTGCTCCATTCAGTACGTGCCCTCTTTAATACCCATCACCAGGCTACCCATCCTCCCACGCCCTCCCCTCTAGAACCCTCAGTTTGTTTCTCAGAGTCCATAGTCTCTCATGGTTCGTCTCCCGCTCTGATTCCCCGCCTTCATTTTTCCCTTCCTGCTATCTTCTTTTTTTTTAACATATAATGTATTATTTGTTTCAGAGGTACAGGTCTGTGATTCAACAGTCTTGCACAATTCACAGCGCTCACCATAGCACATACCCTCCCCGATGTCTATCACCCAGCCACCCCATCCCTCCCACCCCCCACCACTCCAGCAACCCTCAGTTTGTTTCCTGAGATTAAGAATTCCTCATATCAGTGAGATCATATGATACATGTCAAGAAAAAAAATTTTTTAAAAGAAAGCATCAATGGATTTTATTATAGCAATTTGGCTC